GATGAGATCGAAGAACTCCTCCGTCTGCGGTGACGCCATCAAGGAGGACTGAGCTGGGGTGAGGAACACAGCAGGGTCACAGCTCTGTGGGCTCAGGCCTGAGCTGCGGCTCTGCGCTGCAGAGAGCCCAAATCCTCATCCCCAAACCGCTGTTCAACCAACTGCTGCCAAGCCTTACGCCCTCCCCGCTGGGCAGACACCGGCGATCGCAGGTGAGCACAGAGCTCTGAGCACTCGCCCTTGGCGGCACAGGCTCCCCAAAAGCCCGGCCTTTTTAGGGCAGCTCAAGCAGAGGCTGCCTCGGTGAGCCTGCTCTGGGTGTCACGAGCTGCAGGACCTGTGTCACAGCACGTGGGAGAAAACACTCGGGGGGGTCTGGTTCATCCCCACGTGGAGCAGAACGGAGCCAGCCTGGGCTCAGCTGCTGGGAGGGGGCTGGCACGAGCGGGCAGCAGCGCGTCCCACTCCAGAAGCTACACATACACTCTCTACTGGATCAACCCTTGCGGGGAGCATCCCATCCGGACACCCACGGTGCCTGGTGCTTTCTAGCCCTGGGGGTGCAGCGCTGGAGGAGCCGTTGGGCCCTGCACAACCAGAGCACAGCCCGATGGGTGTTGCTGTCCCAGGGAGCACAAAGCACTTCAGAGGGTGCCCCAGTCTCCCAACATGACGTGCTCTTCTTAGAGCTCCAGCTTGTGGAGTTGCAGCAATGCATAAAATTCTCAGTGCTGATGCAAAGGTGAGTTTCTTCCCCTTCAGCTCACAAAGAAACCTTGAAAATAACACATGTGAAAGGCTCAGAGACCAAACGAGAGCTGAGCAGAACGTGTGCCTACTTGTGCATTCTTTATAAAGCTTTGTATTTTAAACTCAGTCTCCTAAATCACACAGCTGTTCCAGTTGTGTCTTGAAAAAGTAATGCTCATTTCCACCCTATTTTTAGAAGGTAAAAACCTTCTCACCTCACAGCCAACCTGCCTTCCTGCCGCAGCCTGACCTTCCCCGCTCTGCTCTGGCTGCCACTCCGGCCCCTGCTGCTGGCACCTCCTGCCCTGAGCAGCCTGTGCTCTTGTCGTGCTTGGGGGATGCCAGGGGTCTCCTCCTCTCCTGTCTGCACTTCATGTTCACGTGGAAACCGATAAATAAATCCCTCGGTTCAAGTGAAGTGTTTTGAGCCCTTTGTGATGGTGCTCAAGCATGCGAGTGGGACCTGCACATTTTAGTGCTTCTCTCCAGCGTGGTTTAAACAAAGGACCTCAACACCGTATCGTAAAAAAAGACACGAAACCAAAGTGCAAACACAGCCCTGACCTGCCTTTCCTGTCCCATCCATTTG